AGATTTCAGAGATAATGTTTAATTTCACAAAGTTTGCATTTTACATCAAAGAGATATTCGGCTTATGTGTCTATAGACTATCTCCAGTGAAAGCATAAAACAAGCTTTTTGGTTGCAATTTACAAACTCAAGGTAATGGCATGAATTTACTGATCTTTTGTTCATCTTTAAATATGCATGCTGTTGGGGAACCCAGATGACTCAGTGATTGAGCATTTGCCTTTGGCTCAGGTCGTGATCCCGGTGTCCTGGGATTGAGTCCGAATAGGGCTCCCCGCAGGGAGCCTGCTTCTCCCTCTGCCTGTGGTTCTGCGACTCATGAATAAATCAATAAAATCTTTAAAAAAATAAATAAATTATGCACACTGTTAAAAGACCAAAAGAAAATATTTCTCTGTTTTACAGTAAAATCATGGATTAAATCACATCTGTGAATACAGTTATAATGGACTACAACTTTTACTTCAATGTAGACTATCTATAACACAGATTTTACCATCAGGCTCTAATATCAGCATTAAAGTGGACTTTTAAAGAATCTTCAAAGTTAATTTTATCCTTTCCCTTAATATTTATTGATTATAGACAATTGGGAGAAACACAAATGTCGAAGAAGAAAAAAATTACCATTGTGCCACTGCCTAGAGACATTTCTGTGAACACCTTGGTACATTTCCTTCCTGTCTTTTTCAGCTCTAAGCATTTTGTGTATGTTTGTTGTACAAACACTTATGATCTTATTGTATTTGTATTTGTATTTTGTATCCTGTTCGTAAAGCATAAGCAATTTCCTCTGTTTTTAAAAACATTTGACTACATAATAATCCTCTTGGTAGATTCACTATTGTTTTTTTTTTTTTAAAACACCTGCTAGTGTAGGATATTTTAGTGATTTGATAGTGTGTTCTATACCTTGAACATTGTGGTGTGAATTGTCAATATAGTCTAGACTCTGCTGGGTTTTGGACAATTGTTTTGTAGGCCAAATTTGTAGATATGAAGAAAGTATGTAAAAGGCTGACATCTGCTTATAATTTTCCCGATAAAGCCCTTGAACTTGTTCCATGTTAGAAAGCACAGTTGTCGTGAGTTTACCAAAATTTTAAATTGTATCATTTTCTAATCGGGAACCTGTCCTTTTACTCTTGAGTTCATGGCCTTTTTTAGACATCTCTAACTGCCTAGAGGAGAGAAGCATCTAGACAGTGCCACTTCTCATTTAGTGTGGACGAGGGTTTGTATTTATCTTAACTCCAAGGAAACAAACAACTTTCAAGTGATTCTCCCCTCCTTATATGAAATTCTTTAAAGAGCCAGCTTGCAAAATCCCACTGGTCCCATTACCCCCATTCTGCTGGCGAGATTGTGGGTGCCCTTAGTACCTCTCAGCTTACAATGGAAGCAAAACACGTCCAAGGTCTTTTAGATCCTCCAGGTCTCATCAGGAAAACCTTGAGCTTTCCTCTTGGTGTGCCTAGGCTGAACTCAGTTCTGCAGGGAACTATTATTATTTTATGCATCTTACACGTGGTCAGGTGTTGAAGTTCTGGTGAGGGGCTTACATGACAAACTGTTTGCATGAATATGTGTGCATCATGTGGATGAGGAATGATGTGTATGGGATTCTCTTGGATAGTATGTAGTCAGGGACAAAGGAGCAGTTGGAAGTAATTGGGATAAATCTATCTCTAAGCAACTTACATATTTAACCAGCTATGCCTAACAGATGTAGATCAGAATGACCAAGATAATTTGTAAAATGCCCCTTTTTTTCCAGGGTTAAGAAGCATGAGTGAAAACATTTATGATAGGGTAAGCTTTAAGGAGGCAACACTTCAGTGGTTTTCTTCCCAAGCCAGAGAGCTTTATTCATTCATCCGTTAATCTAACAAATCATGTGGCTGGTGATATGGAGATGAATAAGACATACTTTTTACCTCAAAGAACTCTGTCTAGTAACAGATACATATTTAGGTAGCTTTAACATGACCTAGTAAGGGAGAAGTACATTAGGTTTTATGAGAATATTTCAGAAGGGTACCCAGCCCAGCTTAAGGTGGATAGGAAATAAGGAGAAATATCAGAGAAAACTTTCTGAAGGCAGTTACATCAGAATTGGTTTTTAAAGAATCAGAAAGATTTTTACTGGCTGAGGAAAGAAAGAGAGAAGGGCATGTCGGACTGTTGAGGCAACGGTGGGTTTAAGCAGATGGTGACATTCCAGAGAAAAACCAGCATCAACCAAGGTATGAAGGAGACCTGGAATCAAGACTTATGTTCTGGCAGTGCTTGTTTGACATGCTTATTGGACATCTGTAGAAATGCCAAGCAGGCAGGTAGAGGTATGTGCCTGTAGTTCCAGGGTAAGGACAGCTGGAGATCTAGATTTGGCAGTGACTGGTATATACATGATATTTATATCTGTAAATACTAAATGAGGTTGCCTGGGGTAGAGAAGTGTATGTAGGGCAGAGGCCAGGGAGATATATTGCCCTAATATTTAATGGGTGGTCTGGGGTGGGGGAGCTAGCAAAGGAAACTGAAAGGGGTATGTAGAAAGATTGAGGGTATACTCATCATATAACAAACAAAAGGGGGGCTCAAAAAAGCATGGGGGTGGTTAGTGGTTTCAAATGCTGTTGGAAGTAGAGAAAGAGAAAACCAAAGAATTGACCATTGGATTTGGTTACATGGAGATCATTAATAACCTTGACAGAAGAACATTTCCATAAAATGGTAGGGACAGAGCCTTAGTACCTAAGATAGAAGATAGAAAATAAGACAAGGAAGGAGAGACCAACAAGAGTAACCCTTGTCTTTGGGCTACTAGGTATTTTGGTCTCTCTTCCTAATAGCCATTCAGAAGAAAGGGAGGCAGCTCGTGGCCTGCTGAAATAACTGCTTAGAGCCACGGATCCTTGTTTATTAGACCCTTCTCAGTTTGTCCCATGGGCATGTAGTACCCTCAAGATTTCATATAATGTTCTTAGAACAGCACCCAGCACATAGTGCTATATGAACTTCTGTTATAATTATCCCAGTTTCTAGGCAAGCTTTATTGGCTTCTAAGAAGAACGAATCATTTATGTAGACCACATCATTCTCCAGGAAGTGTGAAGATACAAATCCTACACATAGCAAAAACTGAAGTATAAAACAGGAAAATGACTTGTGTATAGGGTCCAGTCCTCTAGTTTAGCGGTCTATGCTTCCTCCCTCTCTCTCTCTCTCTCTCTCTCTCTCTCTCTCTCTCTCTCAGTTCTGGTTAAGGTTCACTAGAGAGTCTAGGATTGAATTATTTTATTTATTTATTTTTTGGATTGAATTATTAAACAATGGCACAGAAAGTAAAAAAGGAAAAAGGAAACGAGTATGTAAAGGGATAGGCAGAGAAACCAACGAAAATAGAAGTAAATACAGCACATGGTGCGTTAGTGTTCTGTACAGGTAGCTGAAAGACGACAGGTACAGGGCGGAATTTTAGTTTTGGGATTGTTCATTGGTTAAGTGGGGAATACTAACGAAGAAATGGAGGAATAATAATCCAATGGTACAGCTATTTCTGTGTGGAGACATTTTGAAACTTGTTTTACAATGGAACTGTTCTAGAAATCAAGAACAAGATAGAAAGTGGAGATAAGGAGAGGAGGTGTCAACTTCCCCTTGCTCTCTGAATGCCTGATCACTCCTTTCAGCCTTAAGATCAAATTCTGGATTTTTTTTTTTTTACAGGTATTTGTCATGTGCCAAATGTGGATATCTGTCTGCGAGGAGTATTGTGGGGATCGAGATATGTAAAGTGTCCAGGATTCAATGACTGCATCATTAATGCATCTTTCTTTTTTTTTTTTTTTAAGGTTTTATTTACTTATTCATGAGAGACACAGAGCGAGAGAGGCAGAGACACAGGCAGAGGGAGAAGCAGGCTCCACGCACGATGCGGGACTCGATCCCGGGCCTCCAGGATCACACCCCGGACCGAAGGCAGGTGCTAAACCGCTGAACCCCCCAGGGATCCCCCATTGATGCATCTTTCTTTTTTTTTTTAAATATATTTTTTAATTTATTCATTCATGAGAGATACACAGAGAGAGGGGCAGAGACACAGGCAGAGGGAGAAGCAGGCTCCCTCCCTGCGGGGACCCCGACGTGGGGCTCGATCTCAGAACTCCGGAATCATGACCTGAGCCAAAGGCAGATGCTCAACCACTGAGCCATCCAGGTGTCCCCGGTGCATCTTTCATGAAGTACATACACATCCCCTCTTGGCCCATGACTGGGGTTCCCGTTTTCTCCCCCTTATACCTCTCCACTCCGGCAAATCTAATAATAACAGCAGCAAATTCTTATCACGGACTCTAAGTCATTTCGTCTTTGAAACCATCCTACGAGGTAGGATGGAGCATTCGGCAGCCGGGCGGCCGCTTCCACTCCTCCATCTTCCAGCAGGACGGACCGGGGCCACTTTTTCGGCCACGTTCTGCGGCTAGCAAACTCGGTTTTCCGTCCAGAAAACACTGCACCGCTCTCAGTGGCCAAGGACTGTCGCCTCAGTTCCCGGGGCCCGGGAGAAAGTATTTCATTCACCCAGACGGAGCCGGCCCAGCGGCGTCCTTCTCGGGGCCGCGAACTTCCCCCCGGGCCGAGCCGCCGAGCGTGCACCCTTCGTCCTTTGCTGCACGGGCCACGGGGGTCACTAGTTTAAGGAGGCACACGGCGGGCTTGGAGACGCAGCATCGCACGAACCCCCGGAGCTGCGCGCCTGGAGCCCGCCCCGGAGTCCGCAGAGGCCACGGCGAGGCTCCCGAGCACCCCGCGCGGCAGAGGGCGCGGCGTAGAAGCCCCGCGGGCCCGCAGGAAGGGGCGGGGCCTGGAGCCCGGCCGGCCGCTCCCCGCCCCTCCCCCTCTGGTCTTCGCCCCGCCCCGCCCCGCCTCGCCCCGCCCCTCCGGCCCGGCCGCCCCGCCCCCGGTGACGTCACTGGCCAGGCCAGCCGGCGCCATTTTGAAAGTGGAGTCGCCTACCCCTGCCGCTGCCGCCGCCGCCGCTGTCGTAGCTGCCGCCGCCGCTGCCGGAGAAAGAGCGAGAGCGGGGAAGCCCCAGAGTGAAATCCACCATCCTGCTGGCTCGTCTGCCCGCCCCTCCTTCCTTCTCCCCCGACCCCCGCCCTCTCCCCCCACAGGTGCCATCCGCCGCCATCCGCCCTCTCTACCCCCCCATCCCCAGGTGAGGGGGGTGAGTTCAGGAAGCAGAGACCCCGAGGAACCCAGCAGGGTCACCATTTGCAGCGCAACATGGCAGGTAAAGGAGAAATCACCCCCGTCCACTGACAAGGCACCGCTTCCTTCCTTCTCCCTCCATCACCCCCTAGCGACCGCCGGCGCCTCCCGTAGAGCCACGGGGCGCCCCTCGGGTCTCCGGGAATTGGCCGAGCGGGGTGGGGTGGGGGTGGGGAGGGCCGGGGGGGCGGGGGGTCGCTGTGATAGCGGAAGGGCTCTGGAGCGAGGGCTGGAGGCTTGGCACGGGTGGGGGTGGGGTGTGTGCTGGCGAGCCGGGGGCAAGGCGTGGGTGGGGCGGGGTGGGGGCGAGTGCCGATTCGTCCCTGCCGCTTTGGGGCCCGCTCCCCTCGCCCCCCCTCCTCCGGCCAGCCCCCCGCCGCTCCCCGGGGCTTATTTTAAGCGCTCTTCCTTCATTTAATTCCTATTTTTTTTCCTCCCCTGCTGCAAGCCTTCTGGGTGTTTATATTAATGTATTTTTGCCCTGAGAAGAGTGCTTTACAAGTTAAAATACAATGGGGACCTATGTGTATTCCCCCCCTCCCCTCCCCTCCCCTGCCCCCTTGCAACTGTGGGTAGGTACGTCTATTTTTGAGACCGTGAACCTAAATTTTTTTTTTTTTTTCGGTCTCGAACTAGTTCCCTTTCGTTTCTCACCCTTCGTGTCCAAAGAGTGCAGGGCCCCCTCATACCCCCCAAGTTGCATGAAAAATGTAATTTAAACTTTGCGTTTTCGTGTGTTAGTTTTTTTTTTTTTTTTTTTTTTTTTTGCGCAGATGTCCTTTTCCCAAAAGGGTTTCGTAGAGTTAGTTAAAATAGTTGTGGAGTTCAGTGTTATAAATAGCCAAGAGGAGAGAGAGATGTAGGTAAAAGCCTGGTGCGGTGCGGGGCGGGGGTTGAGGGGGGTGGGTGGGAAAGGATGCATACAGAAAAACCAGCTTGGAATATTTAGCCAGGAAGGAAGGTGAAGGAAGAGAAAGGTGATTGCTTTGAGGATGATTTTTTTTTTTTTTTAATACGTTTTGATGTCGCTGAACGTCTTCCTTCTTTTAGGAGAACCAATTCTAGAGCTTGATTCACCCCCATAGAACCAGGACATTTCCTCCCTCCCCAGTGCTTGGGAGCGAAATAGAAACATTCAGGGACTAAATCAATTTTCCATGCTTCTCCCAAGATTTAGATAAGAACCTTTAAATGATAAGACCTTTAAGAAAAAGTTGAGGTGTGTTGGGTTGGACTTAACGTCTTGCTGTAAATAAGTTGGCTCTTTGGCCTTGTTGAATGATTAAATGGAATTAAAATTGTTTTTGCACAAATGACCACCAACTAGTGAAATTGTTTGCAAGGTCCTTTGGATTCTGAGGGATAAGGTGAAGGGAGGCAGAGCAAGCTTCCTCTGACAGTCTCTACACCCGCATTTTTTTTTTTTTTCTCGTTTTCTTTTCCTGTCTGGAGCCAGTGATTTGCTGGTAATGAAATGCAAAGAAATGGGTGGTGAGTGTTGTGTTTGCTGTGTGTGCGCTTTGGCGATTGGGTTCATATGAATCATTACTCCTCACCCAGGCAGTAATGTTCCTGAAGTTTTCTCTTCGTTCCATGTTTTATGGTAGTTTAACCTTATTAACCCTTCTGCAGGTTTTTGTAAATAAGGAAAACTGTCTTAACTTTTGGTATTTACTTTTCTCTGGTAGGTCTTGAGTGACTGTCAGGCTTTTGCTGTATTTGAGGGAAGGGCAAATGGAAGTTTTGAACACATGCACAATGTTAATGGTAGCACATGGCCTTTAAATATTTCATACCTGGAATCTCCCCCCCCTTTTTTTTTTTAATGCAGTACCAACTATTGGAGACTAACCTTCTTCCAAATTAGTGCTCTGGGCTGGTTGTGGTTGTATGTGTGGGCAGTAGTAGGCTATTAGTATCATGCCAACCATGGATACCATCTCTGTGTTTACGAGAGTAAACATGAACAGAACTCAGTTTTAATTGGTATGTTTTCTTTTTCCAGGAGCTGGAGGAGGGAATGATATTCAGTGGTGTTTTTCTCAGGTGAAAGGAGCAGTAGATGATGATGTAGCAGAAGGTAAGAAAGCATTGAATAATGCAAAATTTGAGTATGGAATCTTCAGAATCTTGATTATTGAAGGATTTCCTTGTAGCTAGTTTAAGAATATACTGTGTTTATTGTCTGACCAATGGAGGAACAGTTTTAAAAGTCACCTTTCTGGAAGACATTCAGTCTTCTATTTTTAATACCTTGTATTAATAATACCCTTATTATTAATACCTTGTATCATTTTTTATCTCTATTAAGTGAAAGGAGCACTAGATGATGATGTATATAAAACTTGTCACAAGAAAAATCTAAGGTTCATATGGTAAAGGTTTCTTGACTGTAAATTTCCTGTACAAATAAGTGGTGATGCATTTTCATGTTCGTACGTCAGTTTTAGACAATCGTGTTAAAATAGGCGTCATCAACGTTTAGCTCAGAAACATTTTTGAATGACTGTCATTCATTTTTGGGTAAGATTTTTAGTGTTTAACTGGCATACTTTCAAAGTGTGGTGTTGACATTCTGTGAAGAAATGCTGGCTCAAATGATACATTTTATTGTAAGGATTAATTTAGATGGATAAGGAAGCAACAATGCTGTAGACATATAGCATGGCTTCTGGGGAGCTTATTCTTGTGCAGTTGGAAGCTGGGTTTGATCAGTTGAAGTACTGAAGTCTTAATTCTTTGCCAAATTTGTTTTATTAGTGTATTTCAAAAACTTAAAAAGTTTTGAAACATTACAGTTTTGCACTTAATTTGAGATGGTCTTAGGTGGTGGAGGCATTATTTCCCATAAAGTAGTTGTGTCATTTCATTGTTCAGAAATATTTATAAAGTTTGGATTTTAATGGCATTCTGTCTTGAATTACAGTAGGAATTTCCCAACAAAACTAAAATGAATTAAAATGTCCTTTTAATTTAAAAAAAATTTGTCTAGTGAAAATTTACAAATCTCTCTTTAGGTTGTATTGTCCTCCTTTTAAGATCCTATTTCTGACCTACTGTCTGCAGTACTGTTTGTTTTGAGGATTTCTTCAGGTGATGGTAGGATGATGGCTTGTGTTGAGCCAGTCAGATGCTTGGATTTGCCTGTGTCCCTGTCATCCTCAGTGAAGTGTCTGATCAGCTTGATGTGTCCTTTTTGGAGCCAGTTGGCATACATTGTACTTGTGATACTTCACAGAGCAGTATCACATTTCTTTTCTATTGAATCTTCATCTTTTTCAGATGAGATATCAGAAGCCTTAGTTAAGAGACTCACTGATGGTCACACAAATAGTGCAAATCAAGGTTTTCTGGTGAAGCTTGTGGTGGTTGACTTGTTGAGAGAAATCCTTTAAGTTCAAAAGAGGACTCGTGTTACTCATTTTATAATTCCATTACCTGTTGAATATTAGGCACTCAGATATTGGATCATTTATTCTTTGCTGTTGTATAATACTCGTTATGAGAATGCTATATACGTGGAAACTATTCCTGGGTTAATTTCCATTTATTTTTTATATCAAAGATATGTTGAGCTTCGTAAATATTGAGCACTGGGGCTGCCAGGTATCTGGGACATATACCCTGCCCTGAAGGAGCTCATGGTTTACTTGCTAAACTAAGAAGGCAGAGAGACCACATAGATTTTATTTAATTAGAAGAAATTGATGGTTCTAAACTTACCTAACTGAATTAAATGATAGTTTGTGATATGTATGATGGAATCAGTTGTAGTTTTCTTCTGCTGATACTTAGTAGCTACATTTTGCTCATTGATGAAATACTTTTTTTTTTTTGAGGTTAAATAACACTTTAACATATAGTGCATTCCTAGTGTCTTAACATGCTGAGGTTTGGTATGTATATTTTAGTAAAAACATGACTTAACTCTAGTACTTCTGTTTATGCTGCTGTAGTATTAAACACCTAATTTTCAAATTTTACTTTTATTTTTTTTTTGCATACTGTAGTTTTGCATGTCATAGTCTATTATGTTTGTTACTAAGGGAAGGTTTGCTTTTCTTAAATAGGATGAATATGTTTCCCCTCTTGTTTTAGACTGTAAACTCTAAACAGGTTACATCTAGCTAAATCTTCAGTTTAGCTTGCCTGTTTTCTGTTAATGATGCATTGCAGCTTCTTTCCCATCAAAGGCTCCAAATTGTCTTTCCCCTCCTACATGCAGTAGCTGTCACAGCATACCATTTTTACTTGTAATGCTTTAGTCTTTCTATACCCACTGTCACCTTAGTTCAGGTTCTTAGTATTTTTCATCCAGGTTGCAGTAACTTCCTAAATGATTTCCTGCTTCTTGTCCTCTGTTCTGCTTCTAAGTTAATCTTAAATGCTATCCCATTTTTATGTTCCTCAGAAATCTTCAGTGGTCACTGCTTCCCCAGGATTATAAATTACATTCAAGTATTTCAGCCTAGAATATGAGATGTTTCACCAGTATGACCCCTGTTTCTAAGTTCATCTGCTAAGAGGGTTTATGATCCAGCTAAATGGATGCTGTTCTTCAAATCCTGTACAGTCTTACTTTTGGGTCTTTGCTGTTTCCACCTTGGAATGCCTTACATACATTCCTCCCACAGTTTATTGCTTTTATCAGAATTCTTCAAGTCACATCTGTAACTCTTCTATTTATCTTCCTTTTTTGGAAGTATTTTAAAAAATCTTTCTTCATAGCGCTTTGTATTTATAACTTATCCTAAACCTTTGCTGTTACACTGTGCAGGACTAATGCATCTTTGTGCTCTATGCAGAACATCTATACAAGCTGCTATGCTTAGAACAATGCCTGGTGCATAGTAGGTGTTGAGTAATTGTTGAATGAAGGAATGTGTTAATATTATGAGGCTTTGAAGGGGAAAGAGATACGTTGAAAAGAGGATTGTGATATGCTTCTGAAAATCATGGATGTATCCACTTGGCAGGCTTTATAACTGGATTGATGTTATACAGCTGTGTAATGGGAAGAAGTTTTTATCTTGGTGACAAACGAGTGGTTTCTGTTGTTCTTTAATCTTGTTAATTCTCAGAGTTGTTTTAGGAAAGAAACAGTCCAATGTTATTACTCCTGGTAAGTTAAATTGTGTGGAAAAAAAAAAGTTGAATTGTGTGAGAGATAATGGGCTCTTTGGGGGACTGAATTTAGAAAGAAGTCTTTACTGGACTTAATTAAGGCTCAGTTTGTCATTAAGTATATTGCAAAAGTAAGAATTTTGATGTTTTACCAAATATTCTGACCTTTGGCCAATGTAGGCTCTTACTGGGATACTTATTCTATGCACACATCTCTTTAGGCACTTGAAGTGGTTTATCTTTGGTATAGCCACTTGTCTAGAAGGGGGAGGTACTAAAATCTCTATCACTCAGTCTCACGTCCTGCAGTTTTCCTTTTAATCTTTGTGGTAGTGGTAATAAGATTTTATCATATTCTGTAATTGAAATTTTTCCTTTATTGACAACTTGCTCTAATGAGACAGTGCGTAGTTACAGACACTGGTGCTAGGCCACATAGTTTGAATCCTACTCAGCCCTCTGCTACCTTTGTAATCTTGGGCAAATTAACTCACCTTTGTGCCGTTTTCCTCTCTAAAATGAAGATCACAATAAAATCTTATGGTGTTTTTGTGATTTTTAAATGAGTTAATATGCATAAAGCAGAAGCCTGACACATAGTAAGGGTGTTATAAGGATTTAGCTGTTATTTTTTTGAACACTTATGGCAAATAAGAGTTGGAGAAGGAGAAAATTGGGAAATTGTTTTTAAAGGCTACTAAGGATTTCTTCTCAAAGTGGGGATGGTATGTATATTTTACACATATTCTTTAATTCCAATGACACATAGTTCAGAAAACATTCGAAACTAAACCATAGCCTTAGAGACACATATTAAACTGGTAGGTAAAACTCTGAAGAAAAGCTACAAAATAACTGCTATAAAAGCCAGTATGTGGTGGTTACCTTTAAGTGATAGAAGGGAGTTCTTGGAAGGGAATCTGGGGGCCTCATGGAGATGGTATCCTGACTGGGTGACAGTTGTACTGATTAACTGATTATCCTGGACATTTTTCTTTTCTTTTCTTTTTTCTTTTCTTTTCTTTCTTTTCTTTTCTTTTCTTTTCTTTTTAATATTTAATTTATTCATGAGAGACAGAGAGAGGCAGAGACATAGAGGGATAAGCAGGCTCGCTGTGGGAAGCCTGATGCAGGACTCGATCACAGGACCCTGGGATCACGACCGGAGCCAAAGGCAGATGTTCAACAACTGAGCCACACAGGCACCCCCTGGACATTTTTCTTTTGATTTTTGATTTTCTGTATTTGTTAGATTTCACCCCAAAAGAGTGTGCTTGTGTTTAAATCAATACTGTATTAAAAAAGGGTTTAGAGTGAAAACTGGCAATCCCTACCTTCATCTACTCCCTAATCCTCCCTCATCCTTCTAAAGGCGATTATATTGGACTCTTTCAACTGTATTCCCTAGTGCTTATTTTCTTGTGAGTGAAATGATACTAATATTTCTCATCCATTTTATTTTTTTATTTTTTTATTTTTTTATTTTTTTTTTTAATTTTTATTTATTTATGATAGTCACAGAGAGAGAGAGAGAGAGGCGCAGAGACATAGGCAGAGGGAGAAGCAGGCTCCATGCACCAGGAGCCCGATGTGGGATTCGATCCCGGGTCTCCAGGATCGCTCCCTGGGCCAAAGGCAGGCGCCAAACCGCTGTGCCACCCAGGGATCCCTTTCTCATCCATTTTAGACTTAACCAGGTGACTTTCCTCTCTAGTAGATGAAGCTTAAGCTGTTCCCCTTATCAACCCCATGCCCCAATGTTTTAACATATAGTATGGTTAAATTAGAAGTTGGTGCTTACATTGTTAGGAGCATGCATATGTTCACTGCTGAACCAAGACTACTCTACATTGTTCCTCGTGTACCAGTTCATTTGTCCTAAAGCTAATAATTGCCCATTTTTAATTTGCCTAGTTTTTTTTTTGTATTTGCATTTTGTATTTTTATTTTTTTATA